GGTACTCAATAGGTGGTTGGACAGTGTGAATCTTTAACCTTCAACTGGTGAAGGATTTAGGAGGGAAACTATTTGAATGGATTATTTTCCATTAGGAAAGGGGTTTGAATAAGTCATTAACATTTGAAAAGGCCATTGGTTAGGGTCTTTTGTATTGACAACCCAAAGGGTAATTGTGTCAGGAATGTATTCTATTCATCTAAAAGTAAGACTTTGATAGGTAATCAAATATCTTCAATGTATCTTTTAAAAGAAAAATATATATATGGGAAGCAGGGTTAAATGAATCTGTTAAAATGGTTTTCTCTGTAACATGTTTTTTTAAAAACATGAACCAAATTCTTTGAGCATGAATGTCATTCAGATCAGGATAGTTGAACAAACGTATTTTATTTGTGGCTGGGATTTTCCACCTGTTCCCCTCTAATCAAATAAAACATTTAGGATAATCATTTTACGTTTTACTGGGCCAAAATGTTTTACATTACATGTGATATTTCTCATTGTCTAAACTTAAAGGATGTCTGCTGCTGTCGTTGGATGATGAGTACAAGTTATGTCAATCTCACTGAATCTCTTTTGAATGGCACTAAAACCCAAAAGCATCTCTGAATCCAGGAGACATGTTAGTAGGAAAGAGAAGCTGGGATTACAGCCCAAATATGAATACATCTCAACTTAACACGTTCTTATCGCTCATCCCGGCCAGACAACCTGGAGGCAGTCCGCAGGTGTTCCTACATGAAACAGTAAGTGTGTATCATCTCTCTCTGTCCTCAGGTGATGCAGGTGGTGAGGGAGCAGATCACCAGGACCCTCTCCAGTAAGCCCACCTCCCTGGAGCTCTTCAAGAACAAAGTCAACGCCCTGAACTACGGCGAGATCCTCAAACTGCGGCAGACGGAGCGGCTGCACCAAGAGGAGACCCTCGCTCCCCCCGTACTGTGAGTAGCAGGATCTGTAAACATTAGAAACACTTCCCATGTGCTCCTTCTTGGCACAATATGTGGATGCTCTGTTCCAAATGCTTGGCCGGAGACCCAGCAGCTATTGGTTTTCCAAACATTAAAAAAGGGTTCAGATCCTGATTTAGATTGTTTGTTAATATGTAGAAAAGTCCAGCAACAGTGTCAGAACCAGATCAGCTGCTCGACTGATGACTGCAGAGAGTTTCCACCCCTATGGAAGCTGCTGTTTGTCACTGAACACTGCGTGTAGCAGGGTGATGCTGTCACACTGAATGTGGGGGGCAGAAGTTATTGTCCATGCTTTAAATCCCCATAGGCTTTCTTAATCAATTAACAATGAGGACAAATGTTTTTTCTGGCGATGTGTTTTATTTGTTATGTTATGTGTCTGGGTTGGGTTTCCTTTGGTTAGGTTGTGAATGCTAACCAGGCATGGGACAAAAGGAACATTTCAAGTCAGGGCTAAAATAATTGGGATTCCCAATTATATCCCTATTATCATCAAAATATGCTTTAAACTATTGAAATAGCCAAATATAATCCATTTGGTATACAGGTATTCAGGGTACCTTACATTGTATTAAGAAACACATATTTGTATTGCATCTAAGATATGACCGATCTTTCTTTAGTAAAAAACAACCTGAGATAAGGTTATTATTCATCATAACGCCAACCTTCTATTTACCATAATAACCTACTGTGGGAGGGTTTTTTGTAACAATCTGCGATTAAAAAATGATATATATATACTGTATATATTGTCCCATCTCTAATGTAACACCATGTGATGAAGCATTTTGGAGTATTTTGTTGTGTGTGTGTGTGTGTGTGTGTGTGTGTGTGTGTGTGTGTGTGTGTGTGTGTGTGTGTGTGTGTGTGTGTGTGTGTGTGTGTGTGTGTGTGTGTGTGTGTGTGTGTGTGTGTGTGTGTGTGTGTGTGTGTGTGTGTGTGTGTTAATATCTAGGGAGCTCAAAGAGCGCCTGAAGCCGGAGCTGCTGGAGCTGATCCGCCAGCAGAGACTCAACAGGCTGTGTCAAGGAACCATGTTCAGGAAGATCAGCAACCGACGCAGGCAGGGTGAGAGGACACACACACACACAAACACACACACACACACACACACTCACTCTTACACACAGCGTACAGTGTGTATTTTTCTTCTAACCTCTTAGACTGTTTGCTTTTCCTCAGATAAACTGTGGTACTGCCGCTTGTCGCCCAATCACAAAATGCTTCACTACGGGGATGTGGAGGAGGACACGGACAATCCACCAATAGAAACACTGCAAGAGAAGAGTGAGTTGAAGCTGGGCTGGGGTGTTGCAGTTGTTAAGATTCACATATGTTCTGTATCAAGACAAATCACACATCACATCCCTTTCCATTTGTTCCCTTCAGTTCCAGTGGCAGATATCAAAGGCTTGCTGACGGGAAAAGACTGTCCTCACATGAAGGAGAACAAAAGCAAACAGAACAAGGTGGGCAGCACCTCCTCTCATTATGATGTATATCATCGATGCAAAGTGATCCCCTCATCTTTAAGACTCTTCTTTGGAAATTCTTATCTGACGAAAATGTTTTTTTACTTAAAGGTCCCATGTCATGCTTTTCTGGTTATCACCCGTCCCCTTGTGTGTTATGTAGCTTTTTCTGCATGTAAACGGTCTGCAGAGTCACAAACCCTCAAAGTACACTCTGTAGGGAGTAAAACTCTAGCACAGAAAAGACCTGTCTATGCTTCCCCAGAACGCCTCGTTGGACATTTCTCCTTTTCCATTGTTTGCTTCCTGGGTTCTGTGACGTGCCCATACCCAAATGGACCCATTAGTCCAAATGGACCAATCCGCGGTGCCGTTACGTTACGTCCTTAAGACTTCCTCACACACACACACACACACACACACACTCAATCTTTTCTCAACTCCGCCGATTTCTCCTCCCTGAGACGGCGGGAGGCGGCGAGGCTGTGAGTGAGCACACACACAAACTCCCAGCCAGGCTGCGGGTGTGTGTGCTCGGGCTGGGTCTCGCTGTGTCTCTCTGTCTCGCAGCTCCAACAAGCCGTTTAGGACAGAGTGAATACACAATACAGAGATGCTGTACGAGAAACCAATGTGAGTTTGGAAAATTAACAATATAAATGTATTCGACCTCAACAGTGGAATTATGATCAGTAGAAATGGCCATGACATGGGCCCTTTAAGTCTGAAGTGCTTCATTTCTCATGTTTAACAACAGGTTATTTAATCAATAAATAAAACATAGCTTTTTATTTAAATGTCTCAAAGAGCCCAGTAATACAATTATGAAATCACCATTCTAATTCATTTTATGAGTTTAACTGATTTGTTAAACATTATTTAACTTGATATAACCATATTTAATTTTGTCTTAATGCACATTATTTAATTTCATATTCTGTTCTTGTACATATCATATTTTATTTACGTGTATATAGACTTTAGCACTATTTTGTATTTTATTACCTATGTTGCATTGTTGGAGGGGCTCAGGTCAGAACCATTTCATTGCCATTTCTACGCTGTAGCTATGAGCATGACAATAAAACCTTTGAATCTTGAATCTATTAACACCCTTTGTGTCCCTCGCTGCAGGAGGTGCTGGACCTGGCCTTTAGCCTCACATATGATGTAGAAGAGGACAGCCTTAACTTCATCGCCCCCTCCAGAACTGATGTGAGTGTTATGGAGTATCTTCCTCTTCATCACAGTTAAATGTTTCTGTGTGCATGACGACAGTGATATTCAACCTCCCTGGCGTCCTCTCAGTTCTGCCTGTGGACAGATGGGCTGAGCGTGCTCCTGGGCCGGGAGATGAGCAGCGAGTCCACGCGCAGCGAGCTGGAGATCCTACTCTCCATGGAGATCAAGCTCCGCCTCCTGGACCTGGAGAACGTTCCCATCCCCGACTGTGCGCCCGTCATCCCCAAACCGCCCAGCAACTACAACTTCTGCTACGACTTCAGCCAGACGGAGCAGTAGAGCAGGATGTGTGAATGTGTAAATAGATATATACTGTATATGTGTGTGTGTGTGTGTGTGTGTCTGAAATAAGAAGTGTGTGTTTGGTGAGAACTGACCTGTGCATCCGTGCACTTATTCCTATTACACAGATTTATAACATTAGGTTTATGTGGTCTTCTGCATCCAAGTGAAGAAAACCTGTGGAAACTGCTACCATTTGCCTATTGACTGTATTTGCATTAATTCAACATATTTCCTCAGATGAAAATGAAATCCTTCTTCTTCAGCCACTCAATTAATGGTACTATGATTTAGTTTTGTTATCATTTTATATCTCTAAATATATCTTAAACGATGTATGGTGCATGGAATGCTCCTGCGTGCGAGGGTAGTTTTTATTGGTCGAGACGATAGACGTTGTGTCTCTAAAGGCTGGCTGTGCTCATGTTTTTATGTTTTTGAATGAGCATGAATTTGGACAGTGCTTTTTCACGATGTGGTACACATTACACTCATTTCCAACATAACAAAGACAAGTACAGTATGTGTAGGTGTGGGTCAATGTGTTGCTTAAATGGGTACTGGCCTTGGTACGGATCCCAGAAGCTGTGGATCCGAGATGATCTGTACGACTTTTATTAGATGTGTTATAGTGATGCAGATCTGCATTAGGTACCATGCTGACTTCACATATCAAGTTTTACAAAGAGAGACACAAAGCTTATCAAACTATATCTGTATGATACAGAATGCAATAAGTGTTCCTGCGTAGGATTTTTTTAAATGTGTTGGATCAGATCCTGAAATAGAGAGATTTTATAAAAGGTACTGATAATAATAATATGGAGGCGACATGCCTATCACAATGTGCTGCACTTCGACTCAGCAACACTCAGTGGCTTCTCAATAACTGACACAGGTTTGTTTGTTTCGCACCATCACTTTTCCTCTGCAGTGCAAACTGGCCCTCTGTAACAAATATCCACTTTATCACACACTTTGGAATAAACAGTTTGATTTATACTGGAAATAAAACAAGCATGTGTTTGTGTTTTAGTCATCGCATAATAGCCAACATTTGACTACTATGCTGATTGTTTATTAAAAAAATGTTTATTTCTCATCTTTAGAGTCTATAATTCCTCCTCGGGCATAGTGCAGCAGACAGTGTTACAACAGTACAACATTATTCAACATAGCACACTATAAAGGGATGAACTGCTATTATGGTAAGCTTTTAGTATCCAGTTATCACAGGTAATGTCCAGATTTTCATTAGAAAATAATAAAGACGTCATGCTTATTACCTCAGATAAACAGGCAGTTTAAAAACTTTATTTTAAATGGAGGCTGCTGCTGACATGTTAAAGGTCCCATGTCATGCTTTTCCGGTTATCACCCGTCCCCTTGTGTGTTATGTAGCTTTCTCTGCATGTAAACGGTCTGCAGAGTCACAAACCCTCAAAGTACACCCTGTGTAGGGAGTACAACTCTAACACTGAAAAGACCTGTCTATGCTGCCCCAGAACGCCTCGTTGGGGATTTCTCTTTTTCCATTGTTTGCTTCCTGAGTATGGTGACGTGACCTAACCCAGGTCCAAATGGACCAATCAGTGGAGCTCCTCACACACACACACTCACTCAGCCTTATCTTTTCTCAGCCGTGGCTCCGCCTAGCTGTGAGTGTGTGTTTGTTTTCAGGCTGAATTCCACGGAGTCTCGCTGTCTCGCAGACCCCACGCAGCAACCAGGAAACAACACCAGTAATCCAGCTCACACTGGCCACTCCTCAAACCTCAAAAGGCGGTGCAGCGAGCCCCGCGACGTCCCACCAACACGGCACCCAGACCCCACGCAGCATTCTCATCTGTTTGTCATTACTGGTGTCACTTTCTGGTTGCTAATAAACACCATTGTAACACATCAGAGCACAGTGGGAGGGGGGGGCAGGAGCTCCAACAAGCCGTTTAGGACAGAGAGTGAATACACATACTATACAGAGATGCTGTATGAGTTTGGAACATTGAACAAAGTAAATCTATTCTAGTAGACCTCAACAATGGAATTATGATCAGTAGAAATGGCCATGACATGGGACCTTTAAGGAAAGCCATTTCAGAAGAGACCATGCTAAATAAGTCATTGGCCTTAATTCTGGTCTAAAAGTTGGAAATATTTAAGGACACCTATTTCACTTCATATCAATCTTTCCTCCTACTTTAGCAACACAGATACGTTATTTTAAGAAAGAATTATTCTCCTGTTTTGTTATAAATAAATTATCAAGAAAATGAAAAACACCTTACAGTGTGAGCTTTAAAAATACCGTCTTCAGCTGTTCAAAACAACATAAATGTGCTCATGTTAAGCAAAAGGAGAAATGTAAGAATTTAAAATATATAATTACATTTTTATATAAAAAATGTGCTTTAAAATCTCAACAAAATGATTTCTTATGGGATAGCTTTTATATATTGTTTCCTACCTTACCTTCAACTATGCATGTCTTTCTGAGTTACTTTTTACGATAACAGGACCTTGTTTCTGCAAGACAATTAAAACAAAAAGCAAAATGTGATTTATTGTGAGCATTATTTCCTTCAAACTGTGGCAGCTGTGTCTCAGTTTACAGGGTTTCTCTTGGTGTTAACAGATCCATGTAGAGGGAAGTATGTTTTCAGTCAGTTGTCTCCACCCTGTCTAGTTATTTTTGACGCCACGCAGAGCAACAAATATTAGTATTTCCACATTAGAGGTACCTCTCTCACACTGAAGACACTTTTATAAACTCACTAACAGGGTGACGTTCAGGAGACAAGCTGCTCCCATAGTACACACACATACACACACACACACACACACCTTTCCTTCAGTTCTTGTGCAAATTGCTCAAATGTGCAAAACTCATGGAGCATTCTTTGGTGAGCAGGTTTTTGTCTCTGAAAAAGGACAAGTGGTCTTCCAGGACATTCAGTCAGTCAGAATGTAAGGGATATATCAGCCCCACCTATGAATTTGTGGTGGACATTCTCCAAGAAGGGCAGCCTGGATTGAAGGAGGTCCACCGTTGTTGGAGAGATGTTTTTGCACCTTGAGATGTCGAGTGTTTGCAGGCGGTCACAGTGCTGCAGCAGGAGGAACAGAGACCTGCAGGAGCAAAGGTCAAGAGATCAGGAAGCAATCCTTCAAAATACAAACTTCATATCTTCACCAAAGCCTGGTTTATCAATCTAGATAGTTAAATTGGATGTTTGTCTAACTTCTCTTCAATATAATGGAACTAGATGGCCCTTGCGTGTGGTTCTCAAAGCGCCAAAACAATACATTTTGGGGTGTTTTTTTTCAGAAACCATGACCCGGTTACTCAAAATAACCCACTGACGTTGTTGTGAGCAGTTTCATTTAGGAACTATTTTCTCTCTACTAACCAAACTGTATCACCATCAGGAAGCGCGCATCTATTTAGACAGCTAACGTTAAAGCTCAGCTGAAGAAGACAACATTTACATGTGAGTAGATGCACCCAGAACACTCTGAAACCTAGAATACATATATCATTTGATAAACAGAACTACAGGTAAAAGGAAAAATATCTGTTTTCAACATTAGAATGGAATGAGAATCAGAATACCTTTAATCGTCCCACAGAGGGGACATTTGCATCAAGAAAAGAGCCAAAGGCAGCTTAATATTACCCAAGGAGCATGCATTAAAAAATATTAAAGATACAAAATAAAGATTACACAATTTACAAAGTACACATCCTGTATTAGTTCTGAGATATACCAGCCAGGTATATATTGCACAGTTATTAACGGCATATATATATTGCACATAATTGGTATTGCAATTGGACTGTCCCATTATTTAAGGGGAAACAGACACACATAGAGTTTGGTGCCGCTCACCTGTCAGTGATGTTGCTGCAGCCGGAGAGGCAGAGGTGCTGCAGCCGGTGGAGGTACGGTGCAGCTTGAGCCACTCCGCGGTCGCTGATGCCCGGGCAGTGGCTCAGGGCCAGGCTGGTGAGGCTGCGGCAGTGCCAGGCCACCGAGGCCAAGCTGGCGTCCGTGATCTCCGGAAGCATGGAGAGCGACAGGCGACGAAGGTCTGGGTAACGCAGCACCTGAGGAGAGGAGAGACAGTATTATCTCCTGTATTCCTGCACCAAACTAAAACATTTGGCTCTCCTCCGCCCCCCACCTGGGTGATGCTGCTGTCGGTGAGCTTGGGGCAGGCGGAGAGGTCCAGCTCCTGCAGCCTGTTCAGAGCTAACAGAGACGCTCCAGCTTGCTGCTTGAACTGCTGCAGGTCATTCTGCGTCACCAGCTTGGGTTTCTCCTCAAAGGGTAAACGCGGAGGCTGGAAGAAACCCATGTTGCCGAAAGTCCGGGTGAATCTCGGACCCTTATCTGCCTGTTGAGAAAAGACAATTAAAGGCATAGTTTGGAAAATTTAAAGTGTAATTTAATGATTTAGACACCCCCATTTTGGAGAAGCCAACCGTATATAACCCCACAATTTTCTAACACGTGCTTCTTACCGTCTCCTGGTCAGGCTCACATTTGGTTGCTTCCACCATCCCCAGCAGACCCCAATCTGTGATTTCTTTACACAAGCCCAGCCGCAGAACCACCAGCCCCTGCAGGTAAGTGGCTATAGCTCGCACAGACAGGTCAGTCACATTAACACACAATGTCAAGTCCAGCTCACGGAGGCTATTCCCCAGAAGCTGTGTGAGAGAGAAAACTGCAAAATCCTGAAGACAGAGACAGAGACAACGTTATTTGTAAATGACAGACTTACATGTTAAAACACACAGAAATACAGCCTCATACTGTCACTGTCCACTGACTGACCCGTATGTAAGTGCAGCTCTTGAGGCTCAGTGTGTCCAGCTGTGCTCGGGCAGTGGTGCATCCTGTCAGGCCTTTCACTATCTCTGTCCCGCTGACGTGCAGACACTCAGACAGGTCCAGACTCCTCAGGGAGGACACTGACAGTAATTCAGCGAGGCCTGTGCCGACACAAAATCATCTCTTTGTAAAACATTTTCCAACAGACAGAATTCTAGGGTAGTTGATGTGTAATTTTATTTCGTTTCCATCCAGTTTTGCATGAAGTTTGTTTTACATTCAAATAACAAATCAATTAATCAATGTAATTGTTGTTAACAGAAAGGAACGTAAACTCAGAAGGAATGTATTTGTATTTTTCTGTTAATGTGTAAGAATATTTTCTTCCTTGACTATTAGTGAGTTTATTCCTGGTAATTTATTTGACTTAAAAAGTAAAACAGTTTCTGTAACATAGTGTCTTATGCTGCTCAACAGCAATCCATCGTGGTAAATGAAGTCATGTCCAGCATGTGAGCAGTTTTCTCAATCAACATGCAGCACACTTGGGATTCCTTCATTGGACTACATTTACCATCAGCACTGTTATGACATCCACATCAAATATGGCACATTTTTGTTTGGCTTTATTTGCAAATTCATTTTCAACTCTATGATACACACAAAAACTAAAAATACATAATTTGCACCTTTTTCAGTGATCCTCCAGTCGCGGGACAGAGAGAGCTGTGTCAGTCCCTTCAGGCCCTGAGCTACGGCCTCCACAGACCTGCTGGTCAACTCCGTGCAGGCACTGATGTCCAGCCTCTGGAGGCTCGGCTGGTGCTTCACCAGAACTTCTATTGAGTAATCAGTCAGCTCCTTACAGCCGTGCAGACGCAGTTCCTCTAAGACCAAATCTGGAACCTGAAACAGAAGGAATATAAAGTGTAAAAAAAATCCTACAAAAAGTGTTATCTATGAGGTGAAGCAGTTAAAACGTTTTATCTTCGAAGAATGTAAGGACCACTCAAGTAATAGAGAAGCTGCAGCAGAGCCAGGAGGTAATCCCACCTGTGCAACAGTGCGTAGTGAATCTGGTGTGATGGAGGTTCTGCTGAGGTCCAAAGCTACGAGAGTCCATCTCTGCTCCGTTACCAACCTCTTCAAGTTCCTCAGTGACAGCAGTGCTGACGAATCCTTAACAGCCCCCGCTGGGCACCCTCGATACAGGTCGAACTCAAAGGCGATATAGCAGCCGGCCAGCGAGAGGCGGCGTAGGCCAGGGGTACAGCTGGTGAGCCGGTTGAAGGTGAGGTCGGAGAGGTAGCGCAGGTCGGACAGGTCCAGCTCCTCCAGACCAGACAGAGCTGACCTCACCTGGAACAACAAGATGGAGTTTGACCTGAAAGCCTTACTACGTTTACAATTAGTATGAAAGGTTACACTTATCAACTTTTACTGAGGGGAAACACCCATCTGTTAGTCACCATGATTGCAATTATAATCACTGCAGATGTTCTTATTCCCCAGGGCACTACTGTCTACAAAGAGACTAACACTAGCAGAGCTACACAGGCCAAAATGTAGGAGAAAGCTAAACCTAATACTGCTTCAAAGACAGAGAGCAGAAAAAACCCACAAAAAAGGTTTAAAGTTTGCTGACTCACATATTTTATACAAAATAAATGACTTTATTTGCTATTTGTTATCAAACATAATATAATTGTATTAGTTTATAATTTATTATACTTAAACATGTGATTTAAAGTAGCTTAACCACAAAAACATGTCAGTAATTCCACTAGATTCAAAAGCTAACATGGCAGTAGCTGTAACTTTGCTAAGCTAGCTTTAGCAGAAGCTAGGTTGGGGTTTTATCTTCACCATGACAACATTTAGCATGTGTCTTATTCAGCTATGTGGAATAAAACACTGAGATACCAAGATGTTGGTTATTCAAAATATTTGTTTTTATTAATGTGATTACATTAAGGTTTAGCTAAGGCTAGCAGTGGCTACCTCGCAAACTAGCTGCTGTCTCTTTGCTACAGAGGGTTCAGTCAGTGCAGATTCCAAATTGGCTGCTATATTTACATGTCATTTTCATCTTCACATCACAGGGCTTTTCTTCTTTTTTTCTACATGGTAAACTTTCTTCTTCCATGTACAGTAAATAGATTGGTTAACTGACTAACACTGCATGCCAGATGGTACTGCCACACTTCCTCTACACAGTGTAGTTTCATGGGGGCTGGTTAGTGACCTACATTCTGCAGTAATTAACCAGTCCATTTAATTGACCAGTAAATAAGTAAAGCTGGGCAATGTAGCACTAAAACTAAGCAATGTAATAACACAAAGAGATGTTTGTTCAAGATTGTGCAGCAGAAAGATATGAAAACAACACAACTGCTGGTGACAACTGACATGAAGTCCTGAATATTTACCAAGGGAGGTGTAAGAAAATAACAAATGAGGAAATATTAGTTACTGAATTATTCTTAATAAAGCAATCAATACTAGAGAATGGACTTTCTTGAGACCAGACTGCAAAATAATATGTTAAATAATCAGCATCGAAACATAAGCTCAACTCTGATATCAACTCTAAATAAAGTGGTACAACCCAATAGCTTATCTCTTCCTTCTTCCCCCTCGATACAGGTCAAACTCAAAGGCGAGATTTCGGACACATATGATTTATTATTATTATTAATATGAAGACATTTTTTGTTGAATATACAAATATTACCATGAATGTGGATAAATACTGTATTATAACAATACGGTATTCTGTTTTTCACATTTCTTATTTGTTATTTTTTAATCTGTTCGAAATAAAGACTGAAAGAAAGAAAGAAAGATATGGCAGCCGGCCAGCGAGAGGCGGCGGGGCGAGGCTTCTGCTTACATATTTCATTAGCTTGACTTTAAACGAATGCACCATTACTTCATTAAAGCCTTACTATTGCTGTATACGTTTGGATCCCCCTAGAAAAAGTCAAACGGACAGGGTTCGAATCCAACCCACAGCCCTTAGCCGCATTTAATTTCCTTCTGTCTTCTTTCATTTCTCTTTAGCTGTTTTATCAAATATAGGCCAAAGCACACAGACACATTTTACAGAAAAAAAGAATCCCACATTTAGAGAATAGAGTATATAATACCTGGTGTCTGTGCTCCTCTCTGGAGAGGAAAGCCCCAGACATGAAGAGGCTGTCCAGACCCCTGAGGTCCAGCCTGCGGAGGGAGGTGAGGCGCGGGAGGAGGCTCAGCAGAGAGGCCTCTGTTATACTGCTGCCGGGCAGGGCCAAGCTCTCCAGCTTAGAGCCCAAACACAAACCCACCTGAGGCAAAGACAATCACATAAGAAAGAAAAAAGAAACAGGTTAGCACTTGGGAACGAAGAGACAAGCGTGGCAAGAGAACAGAGAGTTGAATTTACTATCTGCTGGATAGGACCTTTTTATGGGAGTTTGATGGGTAATCAAAATGATTAGAGTGATACAATGCAAACACTCAAGATAAAACAGGTTTCAAATCATATTTCTGGCTGACTACAATGTGAGCCTTTGAGCATTTTTAGCCAGATGATGTTCAGGATGAATACAATCCAAACAACTTTGGTTTGCTCAGTGTTTTTTTAAATGGCTCTCACATGAGCCCTTGAGGTAGGGAAAATGTCTGGACCTACGATAAATCGTGTGATCATTTTAAGTGAAAATACAACGCTAGTGCTATCAGGGTTCACATGACAACAGCAATAAAGTTCCCAAAACAAAAGCTACTGTTTTAGTAGAGAAGGATGACTTGTCTTAACACACCCTATTAGAAATACTCAGCAATTATATATTTCATCCATCCAAATCTGCCCCCAATGATTCTCCTTTGGCCTTAGTCACAGTGACTCCACCCAATTGTTGGGTCATTTTTTAACCCTCCAGTAACGCATCTTGGCCCGTGGTCATCTTGTCTATTTTCAACTACAAATGTGACAAGAGGATACAGTAAAGTAAAAACTGAATGCCAAAAAAAGATCTATTTTACTGCAAATGGGACCTTGATTTATTAATGGTCATCAGGATGTAATAAAGAACACTTGAAACTAACAATTGAAGCCATCAAAATGTTACCGAGTCAATAAATGAAGATAGAAGAAGGGTCATTCTCTCATAGACTTCTCTACAACCAGATACATTGCTTCCTGCTGGATATTAGAAAGTATGCAGGTTAAGGAACTTCCACTTTTTGGATTCGGGGGACATTTTCTCTTGACCATTAAGAGCGACTTATTTTCGGTTAATACGGAAGCTACAGGTGTTCTTCAGTTAACACCTGCACACATCCTAACCCAACGAGTAAAGACTTTTTTAATCATGTGAGCATACTGTACCTCCAGGAGCAGTGACCTAGACATGCTGAACCCATCGAGCTGTTTGATAATCAGACTGCAGCGGGACTTCCTTCCCAGACCCTTGATCAGCTCCAGGGACGAGGCTGAAGCCGGGAAGCTGAAGGTGAGGTTCTTCTGCACAGAGAAAAACAAACAGAGAAGAGGCATGGAGTTTACTTTGCCCCAAAGCTTTACACACTCATGAGTCATGCAGATCCTTCTACAGTCACTTTTCAAATAGTTAACACCCTGTTTTTTAAGTATGCACAATACCGATTCATCATACTTTATTCCCTGAAGCTAATTACCTGAAAGTGGAAGTCCTGACTGGCGTAGTACCAGCTGCGGCAGACCAGCGAGGCATCCTTCCTGTCTGAAGCGTGAAGAAAGCTCTGGATGTAAACTATGATCTGAGGACAGAAATACAACGTTAGATTACATTCAAATGTGTTGATCCTGGAAGAGGAAATCCACCCCAGGGTCACTTGACAGTATTTATTCCCTCAAAAGACAGCATTGCATGACTGAATGACATAATGTCATTTGACAAGAATAGCAATGTCATAACACGTCCTAATCCACCAGCAAAGGACTTCTGCTCTACTGAGACCCGGGAATTGACTTATGGCCTCTGCCAGGGACACGGCACTGAGGCCTTTATTACAAAACCCCATGCATACAGCCTGTTTGAGTGAGGTTCTGTGAAAATGTAAACCTTGGCTTTTTGGGAGCCAGCAAAGCACATTTTCTGTCATTTCAACATAGCAGATATTTCACATGTATGTTTTTTATAGGGACATGAGAGTCTTAAATATATTATATTAAAATTCTAGAAGTGTATGATAATTTTAGCCTTTTAAAATAGCATTTTAACCTGTATCCCTTGGTGGGGACATTGGGACTTCCTTTTTCTTCATTGTATTTTCATACTTCAGAAAACAAGACAAACGTGCAAATGCAGAACGGGTCATTCTACAGAAAAGGTGGAATCTGGGTGATACAAATCTGCTGAAATATATTCCTTCTAAAAACATCTAAAACCTGTTAAATAGCAATAACTAACCCTTAACTTGATGAATCCACAACAAGTAGAGCTTAAAGTATTTTTATTTTTTTAATTATTGTTATACTTTATACAAAGCTTATTTGTATAGGAATGTCACTGGTGTTACGTGTTACCAGGAAGAAGAATATCACCAGTGACGGTAACACCAGTGACAATTTGGAGAAAACACTACCATTTTAACAAAATGGCTGCAATGTGTCAGACCATGGTTGCGTTCCGATAATCCAAAAATCAGCTCCTAAATTATAACCCTATCTCCTATTCCTTGACCTCTGAGTGAAACGTCACGGTGTTAAGGGATAGTGGATAGGAGAATTCAAAAGGATTTAGGAGAAGAGACAGCGGTACTTTAGAGAATCCGAATGCACTTTCACTATCCGACGTGTTTATGATGCGCCAGCGGACGTCATGAATGTGCGTCTGCTGCTGTGGGGAAATATGGAAACTACAGTTTTCTATACAGCGGACTACAACATGGATGTTTAATAAGAACGAGGGACTACTGTAAACTCATCTAGAGACTCTGCACCGTGCTCTGACTCTGTTGCTTTGCTTTATGAACGGGGACAAGAGAGAAACATATTCTTCATGACCAAAGTTGGAATTGAAATAAAAAAGGAAAGTGAAACTTATGCTCGTCACCCTCTCCCTCCGGTCCACATTAATACAAATGATCCCAATACGTATGATTGTATGAAAAGATCTTAAAATAAATACAGATGTATTTATTATAAACGTTAGTCCTTAACATCTATCAGTGTGTATATCACCATTCAAACATCTTTTAAAAGTTGAACAAACCCCACACAGCTCAGTAAACACTGTGAAATGTTGACTTTATTTGATCATTTCAGTAAAAACTAATGTTCATATTTCTCTTTTTGATTATAATACTGATGAACGTTCAGAACAAAGCACTTTGGCAACTTACCACATACGTTTTAAAAATGCTTAATAAGCACCGTAACTTTCATGATATCATTTCTCCGTCATAATCGTTTGTTTCCGTGAACGGCCGACTGTTGAGTGACGGCAAATGCTTCGGCTGCAAGGCATTGTGGGGCAGCATTTTCTCCTCTCCTTTCGTCAAGGGAGGTCCAGTGGTTCCTAAGCTAAAGGAGGTTATAAAGGAAGTTTGAAACCTCCTTTCCTTTCATTTAGAGAATTGGAACGGCACTTAACATGGCTGCCACTGACGTACTTCCGGGTCATTTCACTTGGTTAGGAAGGTTCCTAAGCTAAATGGACTATTGGAACGCAACCCAAATGTGGCTTCAGTCGCCCTCATTGGGCGTGCCGTAATTGGGTGTGCATTGCGCGTTCATGTGTGTTGGAGGAGGTGCTCTGTAAGGAAGTCTGAAGGAAGGGGCGGATTCTTTTCGGCTGTGTACTTTCAAATTTTAGTGCACTCGAGCCGGTTTCTGAAACTTACCTACCCCACCTTTAACTCTTCAATACAATACATGTTCCCATTCAAATGTTCACCCCTAGGGCTATGCAATCAGTAACACTAATGACAGACTTGAAAGACGCATGTAAAATTTGAAGATAAAATGACACCTTTAACAAACAAAGTAAGAAGTATCTGACTTTCCTTATGTCTTTGTCCACTGCACTGCCTCAAATGATCTCTTGTTACAGGAGGCACTTCAGAGACAGTACATTATTTCAAAAATAAAAGCGTTTTGTGTAGCAGTAACACCAATGACGTAATTTTGGGTGACTGACATTTATTTGATATTATTAATAATAATTTGCGCTTATTTTTACCATTTCAGTGTTATATTTAATGTATGTAATGTTATGTAAATATAAATTAGATTTATTTATTGAAAAAAAAATCTTTTAAATTAAAACTATAGGCTCCACTTCCATGTGACAAGGCAGTTCCTTGAACTTGGCATTTTAAATCAATTGCAATTTACGTATAAAACCATTTATTTATTTATTTTTATTTAGTACCATTGCAACGACAATCTCTATTTATTCAACATATATAATGAATGTGAGTATTAGGTCAACGTCATGTATTTTGGTGTCTGCAAAAGTAAGTGACAGCACTTCCACCTTTTCTGTAGAATGACCCAGTTACATAAAACCTGTTAAAAGCATGCACACTTCCTTCGTATTACATGTATGTATTTGTATATTACAGATTGACTATACAAAATAATGACATTTTCTTTTTGAGATATTTTCGTGATATGTTCCTTAAACCCCAGTTCTTATATGAAGTAAAACATATAATAATTCATACATTAAAACCTTTTTTTATTCTGGGATTCAGACTAGAATAAACTGTTATGAATGTTTAAATAAACAGAAGAGTCTGTTGCATCTTCTTATTTATGTCTACTAGTACATGAACTCACCTCCAGAGGTAGCTCAGGTGTTACTATAATGTCCTCCCCATTGCAGTCTTCCATCTCAGCTTCTCCTCTGTTATTATAAACAAGTCCGCACCATCACGAGGGGCTCAGTTAGCTCTCACTGATGCTAGCTAGCTGCACAAGTAATTACCAATGCTAGCGTTTATGCTAATAGCTCATGCGTATATTATAAACCGTTAAATGTATCCGGAAACTGAGCAGTAATATTACCAGATCAATGGAAGCCAACAGAGGTCTGTGTTGCATGCTGTCATGTCACTAAGCTACTTTATCCTGCACTGTACAACATTTCCGTAGGCAGTCTGACTGGGATCAGCTGAGCCAGGGAAAACACTGACGTCAGAGGGGGCGGGGCCTTGTGGGTATAATGAGTTTTTCTCATTATCTATAGTCTATGGCTTTTCTCCACCTCTCCTTTAGCTGAGCTTTTCACCTTCATAAAGTGAGTTAGTCAGTATGTTTTGACCTATGGTTTTGACCTAGATAAATGGCACTGGAGTTTCCACCGTGGTCATTCTGAATCCATTGCAAATCAATTAATATACATACACAAATTACAAGGGAGGGAGAAGTACTAACATGTTTACTAAAGTGAACGCAGTACTTCCACAGTGTAGAAAATGTTTTCCTGCATTCAAAAGTATGAACATACAATTATCCTACACGATTTTAAGTAGGCAAACGGTAAGTAAAAGTTGCCTCCTCATAATGCAGAATGGCCCATTTTGAGACTTATTATGTATAGATAGTAGATAGCTTTGTATTAATAATTTAAATATGTCAAGCAGCTAGTTATAAACTAAATGTTGTGGAATTAAAGTTAAATGTTTCCATCTGAGATGCAGTGAAGTAGGAGTATAAACAAAATAGATGTTACAAGTGGGTCAAAATTGTACAGTATTATTTGATTAAATGAACATAGTTATACAGTACCACTAGTGATGGCAGTTCTATTTCGTCCCTACTGACCGCCAGAGGCGGTGCTTTAAGCACTGGATATGTCCATCGCGCGCATGCGCAGCTCGAGTACCAATAACAACAAAGTCACCTGTGACCAGAGTTGGGTGTAACGCGTTACTGTAATAATATTACTTTTGTCGGTAACGGAGTAGTGTAACGCGCTACTTTTACAATTCAGTAATCACACTACAGTTACTAACATTGCCCCGACACGCATTACTTACTAAAATCATTCATAATCACACAAACAGACAAGAGGGGTTTCCGCCGCAGGTTTATATGTACATAATCTACGCGACTTGCGCGTCCTCATCTCCACGTGCATAAACATATGGCTGAGTCAGCGATAACTTTCGAGGGGTGGAGGCAGGGCCGTTTCTAGCTATTTGGGGGCCCTATGCAAGATGCTGTTTGGGGGCCCTAGTTTTGACAGTTTTTTAACTACAATGGGGGGATTCCGAAGCCTTTAAGATGATCTGTGGAGATTCATCAATCTGTTACACTTTAATAGGAAAACAGGCTAATTTCACGAAAACCAAGCAATTGAAAATTACAAAAAATGATATTAAAAAGGTAAACAATAAGGCTCCTCTATGTCAATAAATGCAAGAGATGCAGCATTTTCTCAGCTGTCAGCCGAACAATGATTTGGACTTTATTACCCCAAAAACCCAAGCCACAGCTTTGCTATCATTGCAGTTTAGTCGTGTTTATATCCTACATTGGATTTGTAAGCATATAATGCTTCACCGAACACTCACAGGAGGGGGCTTGGCTGTCTACAAATAAAGATGGCTCATTTTAATTCTCCCCAAATATATTGAGGCTGAACCTGAACTTTGAATTCTCTGCTCCCATCATAATCTTGGCAATCTTGTTAAAATTGTGAATGCAGAATTAAAAATACTATGTAACTGGTTTGCAGTTAATAAATTATCCCTTGTTATTCAATACAAAGTCTGAGAGTAGAAATGACTGCATTATACGGATTTGCAATACAGAGATAGAAAAAGTTGGTGCATGTACATTTTTAGGACTGCTTGTTGATGAAAAACTCAATTGGAAGCACTATATAAATTATGTACAGACTAAACTGTCAAAAACAATAGGTATTTTGTATCATACTAAGAACATTCTTGAAGAAAATATACTCTTTATAACAGTCTATTTCTCCCTTACCTTTAATACTGCTCCGAAATATGGGGAAACACGTACTCAACAAATCTACAAAAAATAATAACATCCCAAAAAAAAGTATTACGAATAGTCTGTGGTGTTGGTAAATATGAACACACAACTCCCATATTTAAAAAAAAAACTCAATCTATTAAAATGTGTTGAGATAGTACAGCTTAAAACAGTACTGATTATGCACAACATTTTCCATAACAAAATGCCTAATAACATTCAAAAGCAGTTCCAAACCACAGCGTGAACATATGAATGTAAAAAAAGTCACTTGAAAATAAGTGTTCACAATGTTTATATACAATTACGCATATATTATTATTATTATTATTATTATTCATTTGCCAAGTGCATGTGTACCTATGTATATATTTATATATAGTATTTTAATTTCCAAAACAAGATAGTTGAAACTGCTATTGACATGTGCAGAAAATGACCCTATATCTAGTTTTCGTATATATATATATGCATTTATTGTTTTCCTGCCCTAACTTTTATTTAATTTTTTCTCCTGTTTTCTTTATTTCTTTGTACTCCTTCATTTCTATATACGTTGTTGACGCAATAATGCACGGGAGGGCTACTTTCTACAAGCTATGCTTCAGCCCTCCCGCTTCTACTAATTTTGTTCATCTTTGTGTGTATGAATTAAACTTTTTTTGTTTTTCGGATGAATAAAAAAAAAAAAAATACTTTCAGCTTGGGGGCCCCCTAGTGGCCGCGGGGGCCCTATGCCCCCGCATAGTCCGCATATAGGAAGAAACGGCCCTGGGTGGAGGTATGCCCATTATTTTGAGTGTGTTCGAATAATAGACAGGAATGTGACGGTGAGGTGCAAACTGTGTCCAGGCCAGAAGCTGTTATCCACTGCTGTAAACACCACGTCAAACCTCAACAAACACCTGCAAAGAACACATATTAAGGTTAAGCTAACGCACAAGCTATTTGTTTGTTTATATCATGTAGTCTGTTCTTCTTCTCTGTCTTCCGGTTGTTGCCTGTTTTGAATGACGAATACACACTACCGCCGCCTGCTGGTAAGGAGAGTTATTGCCACTCACGAATGCGCAGTTCGTACGTGCTCTGCGAGTAAAGTAACGAGTTACTTTGTGTAGAGAGTAACAAAGTAGTGTAATATATTGCTTCTTTTTTTTAAAGTAATATGTAATATGTAATATATTAAACATTTTTAGTAACGACCCCATCTCTGCCTGTGACCCACGTGACACCGGCTATATCAGCCGGTGTCGTCAGAGGATCTGTTCCTTTCATCTTCTCGCTGTGCGAGAGTACCGTGGCTACATTTGTGTAGCCTACAGCGTTCAGGTTTGAACGTTTGATCTGAGGGATTTCTCTGCAAGCAGCTGGCCGCGTGCAGCTTCGCGACTGACAGTCGGAGCTACGGGTCGTTAACGCGTCCTCCAGGAGCTGTGGCCGGCTGTGCGCTGTGCAGAGCCTCGACAGACAGGTTTGTGTCAGCTTGTTGCTGGTGATGGCTGTGTCCCGCACCCTCTCCCAGCCAAGTTGTCCTGATTGCCGTCTTGTTTTTTGTTTGGCTTAGACTTTCTGGTGACGACAGTGTTCCCGCTTCCTCTCCCATAAAGTTGCCCTTATGCTCTTTTGAAAGTTCTGTTTGTGGCGTTGTGCCCGAGCTATCATTAGCATTTGAGTCCCAGCTTTGGCTACGTCCCTCATTCAATTTAGTATGGAAAGCCCAGAGTGTCATATTTTAAACCCGTTTTTCGTTTAGATGCAGAGAGTAAGGTAAGTACTTTCTATTTCATAGAAGCTAATTATCTGGTCTTAACATTTGTGTTCTGACTTGGTCGCTTGATTGTTAGCAGCAGCCGCTTGGCTAACACCTTGCTGTTAAGCTTAATTATTTAACTCAGCCGGTGAGGGCAGTGCTCCCGCTCCCGGTAACATAGGGTTTGATTGCAGTAGCGCTATATCGTTGTATTACTGCTCCTAGTACTAGACTCCTAGCACTAGGATGATATGCAGAGAACATCTTCACTGCGGGTGCTGTGTGCTCTGCATGTGCGGTTACTACTGTAACCATGGCCTACGGTTCTATGCGGGCTATTCTCTTTCTTAGAAGCTAATTATCTGGTCTTAACATTGTGTTCTGACTTGGTTGCTTGATTGTTAGCAGCAGCCGCTTGGCTAACACCTTGCATGTACTGTTAAGCTTCATTATTTAACTCAGCCGGTGAGGGCAGTGCTCTCGCTCCCGCTCCCGGTAAACGCATGGTATGGTTGCAGTAGCGCTATATCGTTGTATTTACTGCTCCTAGTACTAGACTCCTAGCACTAGGACGATATGCAGAGAACAATCTTCACTGTAGTGCTCTGCATGTGTGGCCATTAAAGAGGATTTCATCCTCCCAATATTATATTATCTAGTGTGCAGCCGTTTGGCTGACACTTTTAGGCACCGGCCACAGTTACTACTGTAACTACGGTTCCAAGCCGCGTAAGTACTGGCCATAGTTACTACTGTAACTACGGTTCCAAGCCGTGCAAGTACTGGCCATAGTCAATACCGTAACTACGGCTCTATGCTGTGTAAGTACTGGCCATAGTTACGACTGTAACTACGGTTCCAAGCCGTGTAAGTACTGACCATAGTTACTACTGTAACTACAGTTATATGCCGTGTGAGCACTGGCCATGGTTACTGCTGTAACTACGACTCTGTGCTATTCTCTTCTTTAGAAGCTAGTTATCTGGTCTTAAACATGTGTGTTATTTGACTTGATCTCGCTTGATCGTTAGCAGCAGCCGCTCGGCTAACGTCTTGCGTGTACTGTTAAGCTTCTTTATTTTACCCAGCTAGGTGAAGGCAGTGCTCTCGCTCCCGCTCCGTCTGCCGGTAATGCGGATTTTCATTTCATTTCAAACCTTTATTTATCCAGATAAATCCCATTGAGATCATTGAACTCTTTTACAAGGGAGACCTGCTCAAGTAGGTTCCACATGAAACATAAAAACATTAACAGAACAACAAAAGGACATCTTACATCATCATCACAGGGATTACAATTTACATAACTATCCACATGTACAGGTACCAACAGCTTCCGATTGAGTAAGGTAAGGCAAGGCAAGGCAAGGCAAGGCAAGGCAAGTTTATTTATATAGCACTTTTCAACACAAGGCAATTC